ACCAAGGTCAAGGTTGTGAGGTCTCCAGGGGAGAGGAGAGGTTGTGATAGCACAGTGACATACAGGTACCTCCCAAGGTAGTGATGGTGATGGTGTGCTCTCTTTCTTGATTTGTGTTTTGGGTACACTGGAGTTCATTTTATAATAATTTGCTAAAATTCATATTTATGGTTTTATGGGTTTTTCCTATATATTTCATAATGAAAAGGGCTTAAAAAATAAAACCTGAGAACTGATTTGAATGAACATAATTTAAGGTACCCTTAGGCAATTTGTCTTCCTATTTCACTTTAAATATAATAGAGGGAGGATTAAAAGAGGTACAGTAACTTTGTAGAGCTCTTTTTTTAATCTAAATCCGTATCTGTGTCACCATGGTGTTCAAATAAAGTAATAGATTCCATTTTAGCAAAAATATAGGGTTTTTAAGTATTTTTCCAGTTTTATTAGAAATAATTGAAATACATCAATATATACACCATGATAGTTAGATTTACATTTATTGTGAAATGATTATCATAATAGGTTCAGCAAACCTTGTAAAAAGAAGAAAAAGGAAAAAAGGAAAAAAGGAAAAAGAAAAAAAGGAAAAGGAAAAAATTCCCCTTGTGATGAGGACTCTTAGGATTTACTCCCAGGGCACCTGGGTGGCTCAGTTGATTTAGCATCCTACTCTTGATTTCAGCTCAGGTCATGATCTCCCAGTTCATGGGATCAAGCCCTGTGTTGGGATCTGTGTGACAGTGTGAGCCTGCTTGGGATTCTCTTTCTACTCCTCCCCCTGTTTGTGCTCTCTCTTTCTCTCTCTCTCTCAAAATAAAGAAATAACCTTTTTTTTTGTAAAAAAAGAATTCACTCTCTAAACACTTTTCCTATGTAATCATACAGTAGTGTTAACTCATCATTTTGTACATTACATCCTTAGTATTTATTTATCTTATAACTGGAAGTTTATACCTTTGACCACCTTCCTCTATTACCCCTTCCCCACCCTCGACCTCTGGTAACCACAAGACTGATCTCTTTTTCTGTGAAGGTTTTGTTTTTCTTTTAGTTTCTACATATAAGTTAGATTGTACAGTACTTCTTTTCCTGTCTAACTTGCTTTACTTAGCATAATGCCTTCAAAGTCCATCCATCGTGTTGCAAATGGTAGGATTTCCCCATTTTTTTATGGCTGAATAATACTACATTGTATATATGTATATACTACAACTTTTTTATCCCTTCATGTATTGATGGACATGATTGTTTCAATGTCTTTGTTATTGTAAATAATGCTGATATGAACATGAGGGTGCAGATATTTTTTTGAATTGATGTTTTTGAATTGATGTTTTTGTTTCCTTTGGATATGTTCCCAGAAGTGGAATTGCTGGATCATATGGTAGTTCTATTTTTATTTTGTTGAGGGTCCTCCATACTATTTTTCATAGTGGCTGCACCAATTTATAATCCTACCAATAGTGCACAAGGGTTCCCTTTTCTTAGCATTTGTTATCTTGCACCTTGTTGATGATGGCCTTACTAACATGTATGAGGTGATATCTCATTGTGGTTTAGATTTACATTTCCATAATGACTAGTGGTGTTGAGTATCTTTTCATTACCTGTTGGCCTTTCATATATCTTCTTTGGAAAAATGTCTTTCCCCATTTTTAAATTGGGCTATTTGATGGGTTTTTTTGCTATAATTTATCGCTGTTAGTTTTTTTTTGCTGTTAGTCCTTTATGTATTTTGGATATTAACTCCTTACCTAATATACGGTTTGCAAATATTTTTTCCCATTCCCTAAGTTGTTTTTTAAATTTGTTGCTGTGGGGAAACCTTTTTAGTTTGATTTAATCCCACCTGTTTATTTTTTATTTTGTTGCTTGTACTTTAGGTGTCATATCCAAACAATCATTACCAAGACCTATGTCAGGGAGCTTTTTTCCTATGTTTTCTTGTAGGGGTTTTATGGTTTCAGGTCGTATTTTTAAGTCTTTAACCCATTTCAAGTTAATTTTCATGACTGGTTTAAGATATAGGTTCAATTTCATTCTTTTCCATGTGATTATCCAATTATCCTAGTACCATATATTGAAGAGACTTTTTTTCTCCTTTGAATATCCTTGGCTTCCTTGTCAAATACTAGTTGGCAGTTTATACTTGGGTTTATTTTTTGGCTCTTGATTCTGTTCTCTTTGTCTATTTGTTTGTATGCCAATACCACACTGTTTTGATGACTATTGCTATATAGTATAACTTGAAATCAGGAAGTGTAATGCCTCCTGCTTTATTCTTCTTTTTCAAGATTTCTTTGGCTATTCAGGGTCTTTCATGGTTCCATATAAATTTTAGGAGATTTTTTTTCTACTTCTGTAAAAAATGCCATTGGAATCTTGATAGGGATTGCATTGAATCTTTTGGTGGGATTAACATCTTAATAATATTAATTCTTCCACTATGTGAAGACAGGATACCTTTCCTTTTCTTTGTGTCTTCTTTGATTTCTTTCATCCATGTCTTACAGTTTTCAGCATAAAAATTTTTCATTTCCTGGTTAAATCTATTCCTATGTCTTTTATTGTTTTTGATGCTGTTGTAAATGAGATCAATTTCTTTATTTCTTTTTCAGAAATTTCACTGTTAGTGTATAGAAATGCTACTGATTTTTTTTTTTTGTATGTTAATTTTGTATCCTGCAACTTTACTGAAATCATTGATTAGATCTAACAGATTTCTGGTTGAGTCTTTATACCAAATCTATGTATAAAAGTATGTCATCTGCAAACAGAGACAATTGTACTTCTTTCTTTCTAATTCTTATAGCTTTTACTTCTTTTTCTTGCCTGATTGCTGTAGCTAGGACTTCTAGTACTGTGTTGAATAGGAGTGGTGAGAGTGAGCATCCTAGTCTTGTTCCTGATCTTAGAGGAAAAGTTTTCATCCTGTCACCATTGAGTATGGTGTTAGCTGTGGACTTGTCATATATGGCCTTTATTATGTTGAGATATGTTCCTTCTGAGCCTAATTTACTGAGTTTTTATCATGAGTGGGTGGTGAATGTTGTCAAATGCTTTTTTGTACTTACTGAAATGATCATATGATTCTTTTCTTTCATTCTATTAAATGTGACGTGTAACATTGATTGATTTGTGTGTGTTGAACTATCTTTGCATCACAGAGATAAATCCCACTTGATCATGGTGTATGATCTTTTATTGTGCTGCAGAATTCAATTTGGTAGTATTTTACTGGGAATTTTTACATCTGTATTCATCAGGGATATTGGTTTATAGATTTCCTTTTTAGTAGTGTTCTTTTCTAGTTTTAGTGTCAGGATAATGCTGATCTTGTCAAATAAGTTTAGAATTGTTTCCTTCTCTTCAGTTATTTGGAAAAGTTGGAGAAGAATTGGTTTTAATTCTTTAAATGTTTAGAAAATTCACCAGTGAAGCCACCTGGTCCTGGGCTTTTCTTCATTAGGAAGTTTTTAATTACTGATTCAATTTCTTTACTAGTAATTGATCTATCCATATTTTTAATTTATTTCTGATTCAGTCTTGGTAAGTCATAAGAAATATAGTTTGTAAAGTAATTCCTATTTGTGTGTGTGTGTGTGTGTGTGTGTGTGTGTGTGTGTGTGTGTGTGTATCCTCACTTGTAGTTTAAAATTTCTTTTTGGTTTGCCACATAATGCTGCTATGGAATGAAATTCAAAATACTTTTCTCTGTTACATTTCCAGAATGATGTCACCATCCTTAAGGACAGGAATATGTCAACATAGCAAGAACATATACCTTGGTTAGATTATTTCTTATTAATAGTAGAAGCGGTGCTTTGGAGATTTCTTCCTGGATTCTGACATGTTTATGGGGAAAACAAATGTGAAGCTACTTACCAGCTTTGCATTTTCTCAGTCTCTGATGCATTAGGAGTATTGTGGATTTTTTAAGAGTTTTTTTTTAAGTTTATTTATTTTGAGAGAGAAAGAGAGTGAGAGAGAGCCTGTGCAAGGGAGTTGCAGAGAAAGAGAGAGAGAGAGAGAGAGAGAGAGATAGAGATAGAGAGAGAGAGAGAGAGAGAGAGAGAGAGAGAGAGAGAGAGAGAGAGAGAGAGAGAGAGAGAGAGAGAGAGAGAGAGAGAGAGAGAGAGAATCCCAAGCAGGCTCCATGCTGCTAGCACAGAGCCTGATGCGGGGCTTGATTCCATCAACTGTGAGATCATGACCTGAGCCAAAATCAAGAGTTGGATGCTTAACCAACTCAGCCACTCAGGTGCACTGTGACAAGAGTACTTTAATAGAAGTAATGTTTACTTAAAGAATATACAATTTAAGTAACATTAAAATTCTGAATATATTCTTCACATCCATAATAAATCTGCATATGTTATTATTGTTTTTTTAACTCCAGAAATGGATCTGAATTTATTCTGTTTGGCATCCTTAGTGACATTCTCTTGGCATTCTTATATCTCATATAACCCACCCCCCCGACCCCGCCACCGACCAGAAGGGAGAGCAGGGCCATTTATAAGTGAATATGAATGTTGGTAATGTCAGTGACATTTACATCTCTTCATAATCTCTTGCAGTCATGCTTTTGACTCTACCCAGCCTGCTGAAAAAAAACCAAGTTAGAGCTGTAGCTTTTGTGTAGGGAACAGATTCCTTGATCAGCAATACAATCTCTTTAGTTTTTTTGTCCAAAATTTGGCCCATTTTCAGTGTTACCAGTCTGGGTTTCCAAAGCCATTTAACATTCCTGTAACTCAGATATAGCAGTTACCTAATTTAGCTGACAGCAATGTGAATTTTTTTTTTCTCTCTAGTCCTTTTGATGTTGATGAAACAGAAACTATATGTTCTAGCACTGCTAATTAATTTTTTTGTCTGTGTGAATTTGGGTTAAAGATAAATGAGAGTAACTATTTTTAGGCTTATTGGAATTCCTCATCACTGTTTCTTATCTTTTACTTTTCACTGTATAATTCTGTTTTATTTTAATGCAGGTACAGCCTGACTATTTGGACTGGGAAAAATGATAACTATTCCATTGAAGATTTACTTTGCATTAGAGACCATTTTGACAAAAAACAAGTTTTCTATGACATCTTGGAACCACAAAACCATGAATTTAAACAAGCCATTGGAGTCAAAGTTAATCTCTAAGAAGATTCTTCTAAGTTATTTCATGTTTTGGTTTCATAATCCCCTGCTTTGGTCTGAACTAATTACCACATAAATTATGATGATTGATTTATTCTCCACATCATCTAATCACAGAACACTTAGTGCTTACTTTATTAGGCATATATCCTTATGATACTGTACTTACTTAAAAGATTTGGAAAGAAGAGGGGTGCCTGGGTGGCTCAGTCAGTTAAGTGTCCAACTTTGGCTTGGGTCATGATCTCACAGCTCATGGGCTCAAGCCCCATGTCCAGCTCATGGGTTCAAGCCCCATGTCAGGCTCTATGCTGACAGCTCAGAGCCTGGAGCCTGCTTCTGTCGCTCTCTGCCTCTACCCCACTCATGCTGTGTCTTTCTCTCAAATATAAATAAACATTAAAATTTTTTTAAAAAGATTTGGAAATAAGATATTTCAGTGGGCCTGTTCTAATAATAATTTAGGAAGATTATGCTTTAAAAACCTTTATAAAAATATGATTTTGATATACCGAAGGTAATTGAAAGAATTTACATGTTATAGCTTGGATATAAATCACATTTTGTTGCCACTTGTATTACAGAGATTCAACAAAACTCTGGCACCCTCTTTCTTTTTTCCTGGAGAACTGGTTATTTCAGAAATTACAGAAGAGTAAGAGGGCTTTAAAAATGTTCTAACTTTCACACAGGTGAGCACCTTTCTCATGACAGAATAAAATCCACTTACTGAAAACAATATAGATTAAATTAGATGGATCTAACATTTCCATATTGTTGGGAGCATGCTGGCAACTGTGTATGTATTTTGTATTCTTTATTTCCATCATAATATTTTATCTATAGTGAGTACAATACTACTGGAGAGCATATTTTTTTTTTATTTAGCCACATGGTTTCTTTTTTTTTATGATACAATTTATTGTCAAATTGGCTTACATACAACACCCAGTGTTCATCCCAACAAGTCCCCTCCTCAATGCCCATCACCCATTTTCCAATCTCCCCCACCCCCATCCACCCTCAGTTTGGTCTCTGTATTTAAGAGTCTCTTATGGTTTGCCTTCCTCCCTCTCTGTTTGTAACTATTTTTTCCCCTTTCCCTCCCCCATGGTCTTCTGTTAAGCTTCTCAAGATCCACATATGAGTGAAAAGATATGGTATCTGTCCTTCTCTGCCTGGCTTATTTCACTTAACATAATACCCTCCAGTTCCATCCACATTGCTGCAAATGACCAGATTTCATTCTTCCTCATTGCCAAGTAGTATTCCATTGTATATATAAACCACATCTTCTTTATCCATTCATCAGTTGATGGCCATTTAGGCTCTTTCCATAATTTGGCTATTGGTGAGTGTGCTGCTATAAACATTGGGGTACAAGTACCCCTATGCATCAGCACTCCTGTATCCCTTGGGTAAATCCCTAGCACTGCTATTGCTGGGTCATAGGGTAGTTCTATTTTTAATTTTTTGAGGAACCTTCACACTATCTTCCAGAGAAGCTTGAAGAGTAGAATTTTAATCCTAGTGACACATCATTTGATTTTCATTTCTCACCAGCACCACCTTAGTTCAGGCCCTTATTTTACTGCTAGAACTTCAGAAACTTGTTCTTCATGTCTTCATTGTTCACACTCTACTCAGAGATGCTCTGAGTATTTCTGCTGAAGAAAGCTTTTATAAGTGCCTCTTGCAAATTAGAAACCTCCAGGGGCCTCTTACATGCAACTTTATTGAATTTTACTCTTAAAGACCATCCACAATGTAGCCCACTCTAAAAGTCAATTCAGTGACCTTCAGTGCTTCATTTCAAAAATGCCTGCAACATCAATGGTCTCCAGACCTTCCTTTAACAGTTCATTTTAACTATTTAATATTGTTCACTAATTATGTCATACATGTTAGTTATATTTCTTCAGCTAGGTTATAAAGCCTTTCATGGTAAGGGTGCATTCTTAACTGTCCTTTATAGTATGTGGCTTAGTCTTGAGCAAGGTATTCAGAAAAATACGTACTTCTTTCATTTATTAAAAAGAAACTTACTGGGGCGCCTGGGTGGCGCAGTCGGTTAAGCGTCCGACTTCAGCCAGGTCACGATCTCGCGGTCCGGGAGTTCGAGCCCCGCGTCGGGCTCTGGGCTGATGGCTCAGAGCCTGGAGCCTGTTTCCGATTCTGTGTCTCCCTCTCTCTCTGCCCCTCCCCTGTTCATGCTCTGTCTCTCTCCCAAAAATAAATAAATGTTGAAAAAAAAAATTAAAAAAAAAAAAAAAAAAG